GCAACAGCAGTAGCCACAACAGCGTCAACACAAGTAGCTACAACAGCAGCAGCAGTAACTAAAACAGCAGCAGCAAATAAAACAGCAGCAGCAACACAAGTAGCTACAGCAGCAGCAACTAAAACAGCAGCAGCAACAGCAGTCGCTACAACAGCAGCAGTCGCTACAACAGCAGCAGCGGTAGCAGCAACTGGCTCATAAATGTCGCGAGACACAAAGGCTCAACATGAGCCGTGTCCAAAGGGGCTTCTTTCTAACTGACACCCCCCTCCCTGCACTACCACCACCACCACGGACCACCACTACCACGCACCACCAACCACCACCACCACCACGCACCACCAACCACCACCACCACCAACCACCACCAACCACCACCACGCACCACCAACCATCACCACGCACCACCAACCACCACCACCACCAACCACCACCACCACCACGCACCACCAACCACTATGACCACGCACCACCAACCACCACCACCACCAACCACCACCACCACCACCACCAACCACCACCACCACCAACCACCACCAACCACCACCACGCACCACCAACCATCACCACGCACCACCAACCACCACCACCACCAACCACCACCACCACCACGCACCACCAACCACTATGACCACGCACCACCAACCACCACCACCAACCACCACCACCACCAACCACCACCACCACCACGCACCACCAACCACCACCACGCACCACCACCAACCCACCCCCTCCCGCTTCTGTGGCCGTCCGTGCGTGTCGTTCATATTCGCTCCGCGCGATGCGAAGTGCTCGACTCGTGTGACGATGGCTGGGCAGCCGGCATGGGCTCCGAGTGCTCACCGTCAGACACACACACACGTTGTGCTGCTTCTGCTGTTGTCGCTGCTGTTGCTGCTGCTGCTGCTGTTGTTGAATGAGCGGTAAAAGTTGCGAAGTCGTTACTACGGAGCGGCTATGAGAATACACAGCTGTTACTAATGCAGAACGCACCCACCACCAGCAGCAGCACCCCCACCTCTCTCTCTCTCCTCTCTTGTGTCGGCACTGCCATGAACTCAATGCCGCTCGCACAGAGAAGAGAGGGAATGATGTCGCAACGAACCCTCTGCTCTACGCTGTTTTTGTACGGCATGCGATGATGTGCAGACAGCCCTGTATCAATACACACTATTGGTTTATGAGGAATCCTCCCCTCCATGCCGTTTGGGCCGTGGGGGTGGTAGTCGACCATACTTTGTGTGTGTGGGTGGGGGGGGGGGGCAGGTTGAGATAGTACTCGCCACTGATATTATAGCCGTGGGCCGGAATTGAACTCACGTGGCCGAGCTCATAGGGCAGTGCGTGAACTCCTGCACGACCCCATTCCAGCCGCAATGTATGTTGCATCGCAATGCGATTGATTTGTTCGTGTGGATGATGTGTCGCTCGTCACTGCGTTACGTATGCATGCTCGTTGAACTTCTTTCGCACCGTACGTAGCAAACCGTGATCATCGCATACTTGTCAAACCCATCATCAGTGCCGACGTTATTAGAGACCGATTCAGACCTCATTGGTCATCCCGTGCCCTTATAAATTCCAACGTGCATCCTACAATGTCCCATCACAAGGGAGAGAAACACAAACAAATAGACAACACATTTTTTTGTTGTTGCCCGTATTGCAACGGCTGTACGCAGTATGGAGCTGAAAACTCAATTTCCCTGCACAAGAATACGGACTTAACCATGCAGATTGACGGCCATGCAATCGGAGGCGCGTTACGACGCGAGCCGGGCTACCTGAGTAACATTCCTGGCCATACGCGACAACTACGACAACATCCCGACGCGTCCCAGGACTCCCCCCCCCCCCCCCACACTAAAGTTTACTCAGCCTAAAATGACGAATTGCTTCGCTACGGCAGCGTCGCGGTTAGCGCTACGCTGCGCTCCGAACCCGGCGAACCGAGTTCAATTCCCGCTCACGGCCAACACCGGTGACGATTATCTGAACCGGTCCTGGGCCTCCCCCCCCCCCCCCCCAGGTCGACTCAGCCTCGAATGAGAACCTGGTGATAGCGGTGTGTAGTAAACATCGCCACTGGGGAGACAAAGGCGGTCGGGCGTGGTTCTGTCCACCCACTCCCGCGTGTACCGTGCGCTGGCCTTCATAGGTGCTCGCTAACAGCCCTTGAGCCCGGAGTTTACAGCAGCGGGTTATGGTAGAGATTTCATACGATGTGTTGTTACATTCATACCAGAAAGGTGAACAATTGTTACACCACACACGACGCCACGCACGCTTTATTATCAACGCACAGTGCTGCCTCTGTTATACGTACTTCGAATAAGTAGTGTTTCCCGAAACGCCCGTTTATATATATGTTTATATGGCAGTAGTGTTGTTAATGACGACAGTGGATAAAGTCGGCCTTTGTCTGTACAGAACCCTACCTTTAACGCAAGCCCTGTATGTGAACGTGAATGTCACGGTATCCCTACACACGTGTCAAACATCAACTCGGCCGTCTCGCTCTACAAACGCGAGTGCTGGACACTCCACATTCGCATGACGTGCGCCAGTATATCCATACTGTGCACGTGAAGGCTACTTACTGTGGGTGTATATATAAAAAAAAAACATCGCTAGCTGCGCGATACCACACCAATGCCCTGGACCATATTCGCAGGCAACTTTATTTTCAGGGCGATCCATTTCGAGATACCCCACTGATGTCGTACTCTCTCCTTCGCAAAAGTTCATCGAGTACGGCACCGCCATGAGCAAGCGACGCCTCCCATATCGTACAGAGAGAGAGAGGGGAGAGTGGTTAATTAATAGAAACAAAGATTGGCGAGGAACACGTTCGACACCTTTAGGTCACATTGTCATCACCTCGACGTCGAGGTCAAATTTGCCACCATCGTAATTAATGGGGCATCTATAAATGGATCGTCCCGCGTTTTGGTTCTCCTACACACAGGCTAATCCATTGCACTGAAGTATACTGATGTACCTATACTGTATAGACGACATGCATCGCACTATAATATACATATACCATTTTATGCATAGCACTCTGCATTCATCGATATGGGAGAATAGGCTGTGCTTTCGGGAGTGCTGTCACAACGTACGACGAATGACTCATGTCCAAAACGCGTCAATAGCCCACGAGTTATGGGATTCTCCGTGCACGCACGACGTGGAGAAACCCCTGCACCCCCCCTCTGATTGCTCACAGGGCATCACACTCTTGAAGATGCACACACACACACACAGGACAAACTCATCCCCAGCACGTTACTAAACTAATTAACGCGGCTGTACTGCATTGGCGGCGGTGCGCAACATAAAATATATAATAGGAGACGTTTCGGGCAACGGCCCTTCTTAGTTACTGCGGTGGCCACTGAGCGATGCGTCACTCATCACAGACTACATCGCCTACGCGCCTCGAAACCCAGCGCTACAGCGCCATGGACATCATCACGCAGTGATCAACAGAGTTCCGATTAAACAAAAAAATCTGACCTTGTGTAGATGAAGAGGTTTCACCTGTACAATACGGTTCACTATATATGAGACTTTGTCAACACAAACCAAAAAAAAAACCACAAAGACAAACATTCCCCGTATAGTCTTCACAGACTGTTGGGGCAAGTGCTGTTAGCGAGCAGCACCTACGGAAGGCTGGAACGGCACACGAGGGGGTGGGTGGCCAGAACCACGCCCGGCCGCCTTTGTCTCCCTAGTGGCGATGTTTTTACGCACCGAACCAGGTAAACAGTTGAGGTCGAGTCGAACTTAAGGGAGGCTCAGGGCCGATTCAGATAATCGTCACAGGTGTTGGTCGTGAGCGGGAATCGAACTCAGGTCGCCAGGTTCGTAGCGCAGCGCGGTAACCGCTACACCACCGCTCCCCACAACGTGCACGCACACACACATACACACACACATACACACACGCGCGCGTTGAGCCGCTCCGTTACACCACCAGCAATTTCGCCCAGCACACACGTGTTTTCAGCATACAAAAAGACAAAGATCCCCCGCATAGCCTTAACAGACCTTTGGGACAAGTGCTGGTCGTAAGCACATATGAATGCCGGTACGGCCGACCGCCGTTGTCTCCCCAGCGGCGATGTTTTTACACACCGCACCAGGTACACATTTTAGGCTGAGTCAACATAGGGGATGCTCAGAATCCGTAGGTCTGTATGTGTACCACATACACACACACGCACGTATAAAGACATACATACACATACAAATACCGTATACATTGAACACATATACACAGATGATACGTATGAATAAAAGCAGTGTCTGCAAGTTGTTTGGACACGCAGAAGCACACGAACACACATTGTAAATCACACACATCTCTGTAATACTAATAATTCCCGAGTTGATGCCCGAGACACTTTCGCAGGAGGTGCCTGCCTGCCTTTGGTGATATTTGGCCACTTCCATTGAACGCGTGTCGTATATTTGCCAGCGGCAACCCTGAGCAACCCCCACCCCACCCCGGAGGAAACCCATCATCACGCACACGAGGTGGGGGGATAAACACTCAAAAGCGCCGCACAGATTGATTCAAGAATCAATTGCGGTCCTGCCATCTCTTGGCCACCCGGCAGCCCAAGCCTACACAACTCTCTGTGTGTGTCCTCTCTTACATGTTCGCACCTCCGATTGGCACGGTTGGCTCCGTACGGTGCGAAATAAGTTCAACATGCGTACATGAAAGGGATACTGTACTTTGAGCATGACGATGTCACAAGAGCGTAACATGTGTAACATCTCTGCCACTTGTGACGACAAAAAAACCGACTCGACGCATTAAGTCAATAATATCGCTAACCCCAATAACAATAAAAACGCGATATATAAATGGGTGACGTTTCGGGCAGTGGCCCCTTCATCACAGCAGAAGAGATGTATCTGCAAAGTTGCACAGCACCGGGTGGGGGGGGGGTGTCGAGAGAAGTTGGTGAACTCGGCTCTCTTACCTGCGTTGTGTTCGCTGAGCAGTGAGCGAGCAGACTCCGGATGGTTGGTTTGCCGGCGTTTGTTGTCGAGGCGATGGGTATGTGTCGGGGCGAGGTGGCTGGGGTAGGTGAGTGGGTGGGGTGTGTGTTTAAGGTTCACGGCAAAGAGCCACTCGCTCGCTACCTCCGACGTGAGCGAACGCACGGGGAGCTTTAGGGCAAGTGCGGGCGTGCGAGCGAGAGGGGGAGAGCGAGTGCAGAGAGTGGAGTGAGAGTCGGTCGACGCGAGCTTAACACACACACACGTGCTCCCACACACACTCTCTCTCTCACTCACACACACGTCGTGCTCTCTCTCACACACTCTCACTCACACACACACACGTCGTGCTCTCTCTCACACACACTCTCACTCACACACACACGTGCTCCCACACACACTCTCTCTCTCACTCACACACACACACACGTGCTCTCTCTCACACACTCTCACTCACACACACGTGCTCTCTCTCACACACACTCTTACTCACACACACATACGTGCTCCCACACACTCTCTCTCTCACTCACACACACGTGCTCCCACACACACTCTCTCTCTCACTCACACACACACACACGCTCCTACACTCACACACACGCTCTCACTCACACTCACACGCTCCCACACACACTCTCTCACACACACACACGTGCTCTCACTCACACACACGCTCTCTCTCACACACTCTCTCTCTCACTCACACACACACACGTGCCCTCTCTCACACACTCTCACTCACACGCACGCTCTCTCACACACACTCACACGCTCCTACACTCACACTCACGCACGCTCTCACTCACTCACACACACACACTCTCACACTCACACACACTCACTCACACACACTCTCACTCACCCACGCTCACACACGCGGAAGAGAGCACTGGCGCACACTCCACTCGCGCACACTACATCAGCTCACACTAGATACTGTGCACCCTCTCGTCGTAGAGCTATAGACACACAGCACAAAGACACGCACACACACACACTTGCCGTGTCTTGGCGCGTGTCGTCTCACCAACTCGCTGCACGTGTTATGCTCCAGCGAAGAAACGCACTCGCTACGGGACTTGCGCCCAGCCAGCGAGCTATCGACACGCGCCCGAGACACTGCCGTGAGCTGAATTCTCGCGACTCACTCCACTTCCCCGGTCGCCCTTCGCTACGTGGCGATATCAGCAGCAGCACTCGGCAGTGGGGGATGTTTCGCCGACGTACATCAGCGTGGGGGTGCCCAGCCCCCCCCCCCCACCACCACCTCGCCACGCACTCTCTTGATGACCTCCCAACGCGAGCGGCGTGGGACGCGCGCGTTCGTGAGCGACGCGCGCCTTCCGCGGTGTCCGCACGATAGAATTCCACCGCTGACCGGGGGAGCGGAGGGAGCGACGGTCAGCAGCGGCAACAGCAGCAACAGCAGTAACAGCAGCAGCAACAGGAGCAGCAACAGCAGCGGCAGTAACAGCAGCAGCAGCGGCAGTCACAGCAGCGGCAGTCACAGCAGCAGCAACGGGAGCGGCAGTAACAGCAGCAGCAGCAGCGGCAGTCACAGCAACAGTGCCGCCGCTGCCGTAATCACCGCCCAGAGCTCAAACTTTCTGCGGGTGTCAGCCGCTTGACTCTCTCACTGGCTGGCTGGCTGGATGTGCGGTCGCTTGCGCGAGCGGAATAGCCGGGTCTGGCCGAGTGGGCTCGCTTGGGCCTGGCCTGGCTGGCTGATTGCTTGGCCCGATGGCTGAACGGCTGACTCGAGGCGGGCTGGCTGGCTGTAAAGTCGGCGCATCAATAAATCGCTGCCCTACCGCGACGAACAGCTGAGACGGCATGCGTATCTGGTGGGCGTGATGAGAGGGGTGGGCACTGGGTGTCGGCTTGGCCGGGTGGGGTTGGCTGACAAGAGTGGCTGATTGGGTGAGTGGCTTGAATGGCTTATTGGCTGACTGGGTGTGACTGCATTGGGTGAGTGACTGAGCGTGATGGGAGGGTCTGATGAATGTTCGCATGGGGTGCATAACATGGGGGTGGAGGGGGGGGGGCATTAAACTTGATCTGTGCGTTGCTTTGCTTGCGATGCGGGGCTTCAGTGCATAAAAGTTATTTGATCAACTGCGTGAGTGCGTTTATGAGCGCGCGTGTGTTGATGGCTGGGTGGTGGTGGGTGTGTGTGTGTATGTGTGTTAGAGTGTGTGGGGAGCGGAAGTGTAGCGGTTAGCGCTGCACTGCGAACCCACCGACGCGGGTTCGATTCCCGTTCACGGCCGCCAACACCCAGTGACGATTATCTGAATCGGCCCGGGGTCTCCCCTAGGTCGACTCAGCCTCAAATGAGTACCTGGCGTGGTGTGTAAAAACATCGCCACTGGGGCGACAAAGGCGGTCGGGAGTGGTGCCGGCCACCCACCCCTTCGTGGATTGTCCCGGCCTTCATAGGCGCTCGCTAAAAGCACTTGCCCCAACAGTCTGTATTAGGCTACACGGGGGATCTTTGTCTTTCTGCGTGCGCGCTCAACAATGTGAAGAGCGGTGGCGTGGGAAGTTGAACACTCGGGCGAATCGAGTTCGATTCCCGCTCACGGCCACCGCTGCGACCAATCAAGCCAGTGGTGATTAATTATCTGAAGCAGTTTGCGAGTCTCTCTACTAGGTCGACTCAGCCTTAAATTAGTACCCGGTTTCGGGTGATAAATGAGTACCTGGTTTCAGCCACACCACCCCTCCGGGCGTCGTCGCGACCTTAATAGGGGCTCGCTAACAGCGCTTGCTCCAAGCAATCCGTTAAAAGTCTTGGAGGTGGATGATGTCTGTGCGTGTGGAACTCCGAACCTGGCGATCGAGTTCGGTATCCCCGTTCACGGCCGCCAACACCGGTGACGATTATCTCGCAACCGGGGCCTGGGCATCCCCTAGGTCGACTCGGCCTCAAATGAGCACCTGGCCGCGGTGTGTAGTAAACGTCGCCACGAGGGAGACAAAGACATCCGGGCGTGGTTCTGGCCACGCGCACCGTGTCATGTGCCGTGTCGGCCTTCATAGGTGAGACCTCCCCCGGCCCCCTCTCCTTCCCAAAAGGTGTGTTGAGGCTATACGGGTGTGGGAAGCTTTGGCTTTTTTTTCCTAATATTTTTTTTATTTTGTGCGCGACGATGACCCTCGCGTGCAGCGTTCACGTTGTGTCCACGGGTCCCGCCATCACAAACAAACACAAACATCTCTCGCCCGGATACGTCTCGTGACCGTGACTCACAGCTGATTGAGTTGGGACGGCGGTGGTTGCATTGTCATGAATTGTGCAGAGAGGACGTGAGAGTTGATGGAGATGGCTGGGTGACGGTAATCGCTGCAGTGATGCAAGCGCGAATCGTTCGGGGATCCTGCTGCTGTTGCTGCTGCTGCTGCTTCTGATGATGTTGTTGTTGCGTTGGCAGTGGTACACAAGCACAGTTAACGACGACAACAACAACAAAAGTCTTCAATAACGCTGTGGCTTTAAATGGAAAACGTATATATAATATAGGCGACGTTTCGGGCAACGGTCTTTCGTAGCACATACGTAAAAAAAAGGTTTTAATATTTTTTAACAAGGACCAGTGCTCAAAACGTCGCTTCTTATAAATGTATATTTTATTTAAGGCCACAGTGTTATTGTTATTGACGAATTTGCTGAGTTTTGTTTTAATAATTGAGCATTAACTACTACTCCATAACTGTCGGACGCTATCTGCCAAATTTGTACAAAACGTAAAACATGTATGACTTAGCATGTCCTAAAACAGAATGAATCATCGTCGATATCATCATTATCAACATCATCACCATGACCTTTAGTGTATGTGTACAGCGCAACGATGATTTCACCACGAATTATTGGTGCATACAACTCATCGTAATTAAGGAATTTAGCTCGTGTGTGTGTTAGCTCGTGTGTGTTAACTCGTGTGTGTGTTAACTCGTGTGTGTGAGTGTGTTAGCTTGTGTGTGTTAGCTTGTGTGTGAGTGTGTTAGCTCGTGTGTGAGTGTGTTAGCTTGTGTGTGTTAGCTTGTGTGTGTGTTAACTTGTGTGTGTGTGTGTTAGCTCGTGTGTGTGTGTTAACTCGTGTGTGTGTGTTAACTCGTGTGTGTGTGTTAACTCGTGTGTGTGTGTGTTAACTCGTGCGTGTGTGTGTGTGTTAGCTCGTGTGTGTGTGTGTGTGTGTTTACTCGTGTGTGTGATTGTGTTAACTGGTGTGTGTGTGTTAACTCGTGTGTGTGAGTGTGTTAACTCGTGTCTGTGAGTGTGTTAACTCGTGTGTGTGAGTGTGTTAACTCGTGTGTGTTAACTTGTGTGTGTTAGTGTGTTAGCTCCTGTGTGTTAGCTCGTGTGTGTGAGTGTGTTAGCTTGTGCGTATGTGTTAGCTTGTGTGTGTGTGTTAGCTCGTGTGTGTGTGTGTGAGTGTGTTAGCTCGTGTGTGTGAGTGTGTTAGCTTGTGTGTGTGTGAGTATATTAGCTTGTGCGTGTGTGTTAGCTCGTGTGTGTGTGAGTGTGACAGCTTGTGTGTGTGTGAGTGTGTTAGCTTGTGCGTGTGTGTTAGCTTGTGTGTGTGTGTTAGCTCGTGTGTGTGTGTGTGAGCAAGTTAGCTCGTGTGTGTGAGTGTGTTAGCTTGTGTGTGTGTTAGCTCGTGTGTGTGTTAGCTTGTGTGTGTGTTAGCTTGTGTGTGTGATAGCTTGTGTATGTGTTAGCTTGTGTGTGTGTTAGCTCGTGTGTGTGTTAGCGCCTGTGTGTGTGTTAGCGCCTGTGTGTGTGTTAGCTCGTGTGTGTTAGCTCGTGTGTGTTTGTTTTAGCTCATGTGTGTGTGTTAGCTCGTGTGTGTTAGCTTGTGTGAGTGTGTTAGCTCGTGTGTGTTAGCTCCTGTGTGTGAGTGTGTTAGCTCGTGTGTGTGTTAGCTTGTGTGAGTGTGTTAACTCGTGTGTGTTAGCTCGTGTGTGTTAGCTCATGTGTGTGTTAGCTCGTGTGTGTGTGTGTTATCTCATGTGTATGTGTTAGCTCGTGTGTGTATGTTAGCGCCTGTGTGTGTGTTAGCTCGTGTGTGTTAGCTCGTGTGTGTGTGTGTTATCTCGTGTGTTAGCTCGTGTGTGTGTTATCTCGTGTGTGTGTTATCTCGTGTGTTAGCTCGTGTGTGTGTTAGCTCGTGTATGTGTGCGTGTGTGTTAGCTCCTGTGTGTGTGTTAGCTCCTTTGTGTGTTAGCTCGTGTGTGTGTGTTAGCTCGTGTGTGTGTGTGTGTTAGCTCGTGTGTGTGTTAGCTCCTGTGTGTGTGTTAGCTCCTGTGTGTGTTAGCTTGTGTGTGTTAGCTCCTGTGTGTGTGTTAGCTCCTGTGTGTGGGGAGCGGTGGCGCAGCGGTTAGGGTGCTGCGTTCCAAACCCGGCTACCCGAATCATTTCCCCGTTCACGGCCAACACCAGTGTTGAAAACATTACTGGGTCTCGCCTATGTCGACTGAGCCTGACATAAGAACGTGACGCCGTGTGTACATCATCAGCATTTGGCTTTACAACTTCGGCCGGGCGTGGTACTGGCAGCAGCCAGCTTGCCCACGACCTTGAGAGTAGTAATTGCTCACTAATCGCACTTTCCCCAAACAGTCTGGTAATGGCTACATAACATAATTGGGGATCTTTGTCTTTGTATATCATGTAGTAGTAATAATAATAATTAATTACCACCCTCAAAGATTGCCGAGTAATACCCGAAGCGGTGTTTGCTCTTTCCCATTTCAGAATCCATGCAGCGGCTCGCTCGCGTGGCGAAGTTCTGGCCGAACAACACCAAAGGCCGACGCCGGGAGGTCTCCATTCAGCAGTGGATTGACAACTGGCTGCGTAGTAATTAATGATACGCGTAACCTCTCGCCATTATCAAGGGCGCAATCATCCCGCAATGATGCGTACACACCCGAATTCATGATGCACGCGCTCCAGCTGAACGCCGCGCGATGTTGACAATGACAGCGATTGATTGATCTCGCGGGTGCGAAGTCACCGATGTTTAGGGTTACTGATTAACTTGGCGATAGCGCTCGACAGTGAAGGCTGCTGCTGCTGGCTTGCCTCACTGTGCGCCAAGTAGAAGAGCAGATGCGCTAATTGCAAGACTAATAAGCGGGTCATCCAGTGGCGGCTAATGTGTGCATTACATGCACATTCACGCATTTACATTGGAACTCAATGTACGCGATTATGGTGGGAACTCGGTGTGTGTGTGTGTGTGCGTGCGTGCGCGACACACACACACAGTGCCATCATTATTCTGCGGATAACTTAATTTCGGCCGGGCTTCCGTCTGGTTCGGCAAAACCGGATGTCTATATTTTCCCCCTTTCCGACACACCACATCCAGTATACCTCTCACGATTTGGCTGTGGCTTCCACGCACGTGCGTCCGTCAGTCCCGCTCGTTGGTTCATTGGGTAACAAGCACCAGACTGGGCTGTTGGTCTATATATCAGTGGTCCTTAACCTGGGGCGCACGCACACCCTGGGGGTGCGAGACGTGACCAGATTTTGGTTTTAAAAAGTATATCATCGAAAACACAAAGTACAACTATGTTCTTGGTTCTTTCGGTAAAGTCACGTAGAAGGAAAACAATAAAATAATAAAAATATAAAACAATAAAATTCTCACGACGTTTCGACTGCAACACAAGCAATCATGAAATGTTCTTGCTGTGGGTTTTCACACCTGATGATGATTGCTTGTGTTGCAGTCGAAGCGTCGTGAGAATTTTGTTTTACATTTTTATTATTTTATTGCTTCCCTTTCTACGTGACTTTACCGAAATACCAAAAGAATATGAATCCCTGCAGTCACGAAAGCTTTGAATCAAAATTTAAGTACAACTACTTTGTTTCATAAAAAAACCCCTATGTATTTATGAGCACAACATTGTTATCGATTGAGAAGCGAAGGGGTTCAAGGCTGAAGCAAAGGTTAGGAATCGCTGGTTCATATTTAAGGTGTCAGAGGTTCGCGTCACCACACGCAGCCACTCGTGGCCCTCTACATTCAGCGCGGTCGGCCAATCGTGAACCTGTCCTGAACTAATAAGAATGGGTTTGACCCTTTCAGGCGATGAAACAGGAGGTGTTAAGATGTTCAAACGCCAAATATAAACCTTAAGCAAGGAATCAATTGAACGCGTCGGCTTTCGCGACCAATATCATCCGCAATCGAATGCTT